TTTGGCGCAGTGCTCGACGAGGAGGTAGTGGTGCGTGCGCTTGCGATCCATGTGGCTGCCGTAGCAGCGCAGGATGTGGTCGGATGCCTTGGCGTGGAGGACGTCGTAGGCGTGCACTTCGCTCGCGATCGCGGCGTGCGTTGAGCGCGAGAGGCGCGTGCGCTTGATGACGCACATGGTGGCGCGGTCGGTGTCGTAGGCAAGCAGGACAGCGCCGTCCGACGTGGTTGCTAGCGTCGAGGTCGTGACAAAGCGTTGCATGTTGTGCGAAGAGTTGAAAAATGATATGACGTAGTGGTGTGGTATGAGAGAAAAGATCACGAAAGCAGTCAGAAAGTAGGGATCTCACCGGGACTTGAACCCGGATCTACCTGGTGGTAAACCAGTGTCTATACCGCTAGACTAAAAGATGTCGACTAGATTTCAGCCTTCTTGACTGCCTCCCCAATCTCGACGCTCCAGACGCGCACTCCCGCCAAGAGTCGGTGGGAGTAGTGAGAGAGGAGAAGAGAGAGTGTCACATCAAGAAGCCATCTGCCGTCTGTACTGCCCCGTAACAGAGGAGCGTGTAACCAAGTGAGTATGAGAGTGAGGAAGAGTGTGGTACACGCGCATGGGAAAGTGCGTATATTGGGCTCATAACCAGTCAGAAAGTAGGGATCTCACCGGGACTTGAACCCGGATCTACCTGGTGGTAAACCAGTGTCTATACCGCTAGACTAAAAGATGTCGACTAGATTTCAGCCTTCTTGACTGGGACCATCGTACCATCGAGCACAACAACATATGTGTTGGCGTTTCTTCGGCGTCGTGTGGTAGAGCTGGAGCAAAGGAGCATCGTGGGGACGAAAGCAAGCGCCCTTTGCCTTGGGTGGAATGGCACCAAGTAGGTCTCACCATCACCTCCCTGCATCGTCCACGGTAGCTATCAGATTCGAGTGCTTGGTTGCTAACAGAGTGCGCACCTCAGTGGCTCCTTCGGCGCTATGGCGACGCTGCAATTTTTCCCACGTCGACCGAGAATCGAATTTCATGGGTGCCACTTACGCGGACTAAACTGCACTAGTACTTGGACTATCGTCCCGCGTGGAGACGTCGGGAATCAGCGAATACGGCGCTGTACAATACCACAAAAGGCGGTGTGCAACGGAATTCGCGTGTCGGCTCAATCGGTTGCTCGAGAGGTTGCATCACGTACCGGAGCAGCGACGGAATCATCGAGGGCAGCGGCGTCACGCTCAAAAGTACATTGTAGCGTTCGATAAAGCGAGAGCTTTGATAGCGGCAGTCGTTTGTGTCGAGCGATCGCTCCAAGGGGTGATATCGACGTCGGCGTCGGCTTCCAGCCCATGGGCGATTGCAACGGCACCAAGGTCGTCGGGGTCATGCCAGATCGCACGAAGGCACATCACTGCCATGTAGAGGCAAGCGCCACAAAATGCCCGCCGGTGACTCGTTGGTGCGCTCTTTATAAACCACGTTGCTTCCATATTTAAAGTTGAAAAATAGGTCGAGGTGAATATGAGCCACACACCGACAGGCTATACAGCCAACATATGTAGACGCATGCGTTGCACGCAAAGCTTCTACGGTTTGAAGACCCTCTGACAGAAAGAAACGAACTTGAAATTGGGTTCAACACGTCGGAGAGAAAAACATACAGTAACATTAAAAGATACGCGCCCGCCAGCCTCGCTTCGTCCCAAAAAATCGACGGCCAGATCTTTCATTCTACTGTAGTATGTAGGTACGGATACTTATGGCCTTCGTAGTAGTTCACCTGCAGATACGCTTCGTGGGTGTGTCGCCGCATCGATTACTCCCAGAGACGACGGGCCAAACAGAAGCTATCACGGGAAACGAGGAATCAAATGTTGCGTTCTCGCGATTACTGTACAAAGAAACGGTTGTAACCGTTCCGGTAACAGTAGCGTTCGAGACTCGAGGCGTCTCTTGGTCTTGATTGGCATGAACTATGCATCGTCGCCAACAACGTTGCAGATCCTCATGATGTGTCTCGCTCAACTCGCTCCCTGCAGTTGGGTTGGAAATGCAGAGATTTCCAATAACCTTTGTGGCGACTGCGGATCCGTTCGCAGCCACGTTTTGTACGCATATATATATGGTAGCAAGCGTATATAATAAATGGTAGCTACGGTACACTGTGGAAATGACGCCTCTCGGGCCAGCCACTGACGAGTGCAGTCAACACGGTTGCCTATTGCTCCAACGGCATCCCTCTCTCGCCACGTTTCCGGTCGTCATTTTGCATTACTGGGTGTTTCGCGCCTGCAAGGAGTCGAAACGGTCTTTTCAAGAGAAGGCGGCTCAGCGAAACCAATGACTGGTCGGCAGAGCCTAGAATTCTAGTTTTCGATCTCCGCCAAGCAACCCGCCACGCCTCACCCGAGGTGCAGCGGTAATGCAGGCCTCGCGCCCTTTTTCCCCCGTGAGCGAAGAAGCCAAGTGAAACATTTGAATACTTGCACCTCCAAAAACAGTTCGGTGTAAATTTTATCTAGAAAGACTCACTTCAACAACAACAAATTGTAATACTAGTGCACAGTGGCGACTGGAAACGCCAATTTTGCAGATGTTGCCGACGATCGGTTCGCGCTGGCCTTCTCAACAATCTCTAGCTA